AAAGAATTAGTTATTATATATTATAATATAAATATTAAAAATATGGTTTTGAAAATTGAAATCATATAGATTTACATTGGCTGTTGACGGGTGTGTCGTATAAAACATAAAAGTTTAACCTATAGTATAGATCTGTCAGATACTGGTTATCTACCCATTTGTACCTGGGGTTAGTTTGAACCTATAGTTTATAAACTAGTTTGAACGTAAATAAACTTGAATATATAACCTGATTAGGTGTAAAAAAAAAAAAAAAAAGAAAAAAAAAATTAATTTGAATTTTTTTATATTAAATAATTTATATATAAATATATTTATCATATATATTTATTTAAAGAAATTAATATTAGTTCTATTTTCAATTTATCTAATTTCTTTAATATTTTTAACTTAGAAAAACTAAACAAATCTTTTATCTCTTATTAAATCTTTATTATTCATTATACAAAGTTTTTACTCTTATAACTTTTCTAATTTATCAAATATTAAAACTTTAAAAACTTAAACATTTAACTTTAGCAGAAAAACTTTCTTCAAAATTAAAGAAAAATAAGTTAAAGCCTAATTTAATAAATATAAAATCAATCAAATTTTAAAATCAATTAGTATTAAGTTCTATAGTTTTTTTAATTATAAAATGAAAATAAAGTTAATAATAGAAATTTCTTACTATCAAATAATTTAATAAACTTTTAAACTATTATCAATTAGAAATAATTTATAAGAACTTATTAAACTTTTATTTAATATTTATAATATATTAAAAAAAAATATTAGACAAAAACTATATTTTATAATCTTTATCAAAATAGAAGCAAGATTTAAATAATTTTTCAGATATTTCTTTAGAATTGAAAAACTCAAAAATAAATATTAGAAAAAGTATAAAAAATTGAAAAAGTATTTTTACAATAATTACAAAACAAAAAACAAGATTTTATATTTTAACTAGAAAACAAATAAAAATCAAGTTTCTTTTAAATACTTGTTTTTTTTTAATATATTAATATATTAGAGCTTATTTTTTCTTTTTTACATAAATTTTAGATTTCAAATATAATTATTTCTAAATATTATTTTAGAATGGTGATTAGAAAGAAATTTCAGAAAAAGTTAAATTTTAAAGTAACATAAAAATATTATTGATTTTTTATTAATTGTATCAAACCAAATTTATTTACAGTATATCAAAAATCCTAAGTAAGTTATGCTTGATAAGCTATTGTGTACAGTGTGTGAATAGTGGTAAGGCAAATTCAAGTTAAATCCAAATCCAAATTTCTGTTCCTAATAAAGCTTGACATGATTTTAAATTTTACAATTTTATTATTAGTATTATTAGTATTAGTATTATTGTTATTATTATTATTATTATTGTATGTTAGTTTCTTTTTTTTTGCAAATAATTTTAATATTGAAATCGGATTAGGACATTAGAAACGGTAATATGGATATTATGGATTAAGCAATGAATCGTTTTTTTTTTTTTCCAAAAATTTTCGAGGTAAATATAGTAAATAACAAACAATTGTATTTGACTTGACAATCGGTATTAGCAAAGATAGACGTGATGATAGGAAGTCTAACAAAAAAGAAATCATCATGGCAAAACCGCAGCAGTGTACATTTGTAATTTTGTAATGATGGTAGTTAACTTAATTTAGAAAAAGTCGAGTCTAGGTAGGGTTAGTTTGTATCAGTTGGGTCTGGCTTAGACGAAACATTCATCGTGACCTTTTTGCATTACCCACCCAATCATGTGACTAACAGAAATAATAAGAATTAATAATTAATAATAAAAGATAATAATAATTCAAATTCAAACGCGATCCACCTATGCAACCGTATGATATTGTTTCTTTTCAAACCTTATTTATTCAGAGTTCCATTTTTGCTTCTCATTCTACGGCCAAATTCACCAGTCGATTGATTCCACTTTTGGATAGAAGCAATTGTACGATCGTTCTTTACGTGTCCATCTGCAAGAATTACCTGCTTGTCGTATGCGCATAGGTAGTCACACGTTCGCTCGATTTAGGATTCAACTCCGGTGCGCACGTACGTACCAATACTCGCGTATGAGCCTAGCTTATTTCGCTCAATCCATTCGAATGCACACCGAGGAAATCCTTCATACCCGTCGTTCCTACATCGATTTCTCCTCGGACTCTTTATTGGGATCCCATTCGTCATCTCGTCATCTAGGTATCCTAGCACACATTTATTAACTTGATAAGGAAATAACTAAACGTGACTCATGATCAATATGATATCACGCATCTAACAGATCATCCACTATATACTACTGACTCAGTTCCAACCCGGAACAGGGATCCTGAAAGAAGTACAATTGAAAAAGAAAAAAAGCGAAATCCTGTTGAAGACAAGTTTTTATGCCACTTTTATCAAACTGCCACCTTAACTATAAAAGCCGTCACATCAAAATCGTACGGATTCACGAATTTGGAAATAACTACTATTGAAATGAGATGGCAATAATTAGTATCTTTGAATTTGACGCAGGTATATGATGGGCATTTTTGTTGCTCAGTTAAATTGATCAGTACGTATTTGGATTGGTCATAGATTACTACAATCGATTTTTATGTGATTGGTTATGAAGGAAACAGTTAAAATTTCCTGGGTAAAAGCTAACAGAAAAGGGAGGAAATCTGATAATTTAAATATAAATCAGGAAAAGCGTAGGTATGCACGTACGTACGTACGCACAGTGCATACGTGCAATTATCTGGTGTTCGTAATCAAATCAGAGAAAAAGTTGACCACTGGGCAAATACAGTAGTATACGGGTGTATGTGATCGTGAGATACCGTCGATGAGAGAAGCTTTGATAATCAAAAAAACGGCCTTTCGTAACAATCCGAACTTGTATGCGTAAAAACCGAATCCCGATTTTCTAACGATGTACTGTATATAACATTTTAGTATAGCATTACGAAAAACACGACTATTACTGGTCATGACAAAACAATAATAAATATTTCATCATTATTATTATTACTAAACAATAAATATCGGTAAATATTTGATGAGCATTAAATAATATACAGTAAGTAAAAAAATAATAATAGAAATAATAAAAATAATAATAATAATAAAAATAATAATAATAATAAAAATAATAATAATAATAATAATAATAATAATAATAAATATTAACGACGATACCACCTACCTACCTACCTACCTTTCTTTCTTTCTTTCTTTCTTTAAGCTTTTTCATGGTTAAGAAGGTGCATTGGCTTCACCGGTGACCAGTGATTAACATCACACCGTTACATATTAGTTGGTTGTATATTAGAATACTGATTTCTGTGGTACTTTAATTTTGTCGCCTGAACTTTATGTTGTGATCACGGGAAACTCGACCACAACCTCGTATTTATTTATGTTCCTTACGTCAAAAACTTGATTGAGAGAAACGTGGAGTTGACTGATGGAGAATTGGGAATGTCAATGTCTCAGAGACGAAAGTTATGGTGATATTAAATTCGCCGTCGAGTTTTCATCGCGTTTGATTGATCGTTTAAGGCGCATTACCAAATCATAATTTAATTTTTCTCACTCCCCCCTTCACGCTCGTACTTTCGAGTATTCTTACGGAGGCTTGCGCAGAATTAATAGTGAGAGCAGGCAGCAAGGGGTAAGTTGGGTACGTTGAGTGACGATGAATGAGCACGTCCTATGTCATGTATAAAAATCCACCCCAATGTTTTATTCCAATTGCCCAACAGGGAAATAGAAAACAAGCAATAACTAGAATGAATAGGAAAAAGGATCAAATAAACAAAGGAATGGATAATCCATGCTTTCTACGAGGGAGCAGACGAAAACGACATTTAGGTTTTCATTAATTGGTCATGTGATTACAAAAATTGGGTGTCATCAAACAAAGGAAACTTTGATGGCGTCTCATGACCCAAACTTTCTTTTGAGCAAGCGGGTAGATTTCACTGAGGCGGCTTAGCGATTTATACATTGAGATCGAGAATCCCAAGAGAATGCAATGGAATGTCACAGAACGTTGTTAGATGAGGTGAGGAGACAGATTTACAGTAAATTGGTGGCGAAAAAAAAAAAAACTGATTGGTTAGATCGGGTCAATCTAAATGAGAATTACAGTATATCTCGGTGATAAAAGTTCTGTGGACCGGTAACAACAACATTCTGACCTTAGATCTAACAAAAGAGGGAAATTTTATTTTCCATATCCGGGATCGACATTGTTGTTTGGATGTTTCGCTTTTGCCCCCTCACCAAAGATGATTAAGCTTTAACAAAGAATACTCTTAATCTTAATTGCGTGTAATAATATTCGGGCTTCGCCTCCCCCATCGAAGAATGACCTCAATTGAATAAGGGACAGTCAATGGGCCAATGACAAACGCTTCGCCCCGTATCAAAATAAGGTAACAGGTAAGCATCGTTTATGGTCAATCGATCCTTTTGGGAAAGCACCTAAACCCATTCGCTTCCATGTTATGGGTCACACGCAATATAAATCAATCATTTTCAGGTTTTTTTTTTTAAGAAAAAAAAAAAAAAAGCTTATTTTTTTAATCGGGTATTTAATATACTTACAATATATACAGTATTAAACTTTATTTAAAGCTATAACTTACCGCAAAAGTTAACGGGATGTTCTTTGTAATTACGTCGACAAAGATTCTTTCGTAATATCATAGTTGCAAAGTCCACAATGGTGAAAACAAAACAAAACGCCAGATTCCATAATTTTCCTATCGTATGCACAATGCACAATGGCCCTAACGTAATTTTATCATAGTAACGTTCTGTCACTTAAATATTTTTTTCATTCAGGAACTCCGTTCCTCCTGTCAGAAAAAAGTTTTCGATCGGTACAACATCCCCAAATCCTGTCTGTGTAAATTCTCCATGTAGGCGTTTTATTGTCTGCGTGAAACCTGTATTATGGATTTGGAAAGCCACTGCGGAAAAAAAAAAGTTCAGTGCGCGAGCTTCTATAGCTAGGCCTGTTCAGTAACAACAAAATTTAAACGTGCACCAATAATAATTTAATTGATAAGGAAAAAATGAATTTCTGATGGGTTTTTTCTCAGTTACCTTGTTCTCGTTTTCGAATGCACTGAGTTAAGGTACCTGTTCTCTAGGCTCAGAAAATTTTTTTAATCTCGTTGTGAGGCTCGTCAGGATTCTTGTTGCGAATCCCGTTGATAAACGTGAAATTACTAATAAGAACCATTCATTCAATCTTCTGTATATTTGTGTATCGTTGATGTTCCGTATTTATATGAGTTTGACTCGGCGAAAACCCAGAGATTCGTGTGACATCTACAAATCCAGTATTCATGACACAAATTTGTGTCATGATACCATGGTGCAGTGGCAAAGGGTTTTCTTATTCTTCATCAAACGTAATGTCAGCGAAGGGCTAAACGAGCGTAAACTTTTTTAGGATTTCAGAACCGGTTCCCTTAACCCATAACTTTTTCTAATGTTGAGTTGTGAGACTATTCAAAGGATAAAAGATGACACCGATCATTCTGGGCACGCGGTCACAACCTTGAGATCAATTGCCTCATGAGGGATTCGCGGGAAAGAGGAAAAGAACTTTGGGCACGTATGTGAACTTTTCAAATACATGTAAGGGCTTAGAACATGCCATACACCATTTCCAATTACTATGTTAAGGCTGGTAGCATCGTCCGTTTTACTCTCGAACTGATTCGAAATCATTATCCTGAGAAACTCCTTGCTCAAGTTGTTATGTGATTCGCAAAAAAAAATCATAAGAAAGAGGTGAAACAGGCTTTTTTCTCTTGAAAAAAGGTGAATTAATCCATTTCTTAAAAAAAGAGAAAATGTGCCTTCTTTTTTCGCAAAAAATTCTAGAATCTATCCGAAAACAAGAATCTCTTCGTGCCTTCGAGAAATCGTTATCTCGCCTTCAGATGTACTTTGCGTTTTAATTCAACATCTACATACTTCAACCCCTCCAAATATTCGAAGAGTTGATTTTTTTTTTTTGCTATTCACACAACCATTCATGTTTGTCAATTATGGCAACCTTATCGGTTTTTTTTTCTTTTTTTATTCAAAGTTTCAAGCTTTCAAACTGGTTCTTTTCTTCAAAAAATTTTTTTCACAAATCTCCTTGCTTTTTACCTGAGAAACCCCCGCTTTAATTTCTTATAATATGCCCCTGCATTATTTTAAGTGTGAATTTTGTGTTAATCGAAAAAATACCCATTTTTTGGAATGAAGATGAAAGCTATTGGTGATGGTGATTTACAATTTTGGTTTAGCGCGTTGGTTCGTTTTAGCTTCTTTGAGGTAAGCGTGCGTATACGTGTGTGTGAGGATGAACGACAAAAGGGAATGTGCACGTCAAAAAAAAAAAAAAGAATCTATTCTAATTGAGAATTCCTTAATGACTTGTAAATCTTTTTCTTACATGAATATAAACAATGTGGTGTTTCCTCTTTTTCGAAACATTTGTTTTTTCTTATCTTTTGATGAATTTGATGAAAAAATTCTGTGTCACTTCGAAAATGCGTAATCTAGTAATTTCAGGAACTCTGATCTACACAACGTTGCGTCAGAAAGATGTAAGACTTTTGTGTGTTGCACAATACGAATCTCAAGTTCGGCGCAATTGTTCTACGATACAAGGTGAAAAATAAATAAACATATACACATACCTAACATCAATACTTGCGCGACTCCCTTCCGCCACGACACGTTACGCCATGAGATACCTCATTCTTATTGTCGCATGAATTAAGGTTTTTAACGCACTGGCACAATCCCGGAATTTTGTCGCAAAAATTTTTTCAAAGTTATTATTCTATTCACTGACCCCAATTAATTTATTTTTCATTATTCCGTAATGGATCACTGGTGTGGAGAGGTGTCATGTCACAGCCCTTCGGATGCAAGGGATTTGAGGACTGAACGCGTCGTAGAAAAGATTAAACAAACCTTGCGGTCAAGCACAGCGAAAACTGAGCGCGTGTGCCTTCACCTTAATAATTTCCAAATGTGCTCGCGTGTCCTCATTTTTCCTCCTTCTCGAGGAATGTTCGTGTTTGTTTGAATGGCTGTGTTGAATCAGATGACCCATGAATAGGACGAATGAGTTGGCTATTTGAAATTGACCACAAAGTAATTGGGTAAGCAGAGAAAAAGATCGTTCGCGCCGTGCGGAGCCTCCTCTGGATTGTCAATACCTTTAGTGAACGTTAACTGGGACACATCATTATGATGAGTTTATTTGGAATTTCATTATCAGGAGGGCATGGGCACAATGCGTACGCACCTATGCTAATTAAAAATTTCCGGCTTTGGCGGCGGGAAATTCTGGAAGGCCATGGATCCTCAACATCATTCTCCCATAAAAAAAGTTGCCGTTGGAATCAAGTTTTTTCTGGTTTCTGCCTATTGGTGATGTAAAAAAATAAGGTTATCGATGGAGGTAATGTAGCAATCTGCTTGCTGACAAGTTTGTTTACAAAAACAAATAAAAAAAAAAAAAAAAAAGGTGAATACAAAGTAATAACCATCGGCGACTCGGTCTGAAATTTATTATTCATTTCTGACCTTTGAATGCAGTACATAATACCGTCGACCGATTTGGGAATTTATTTAGAAACTCCGTTTTTTATCATGGCTTCTATAGCCATAACTTATTTGGCTGACCCGGTGACATTGCACCAATCCTCGGATTTGGTTATAAAGGAAATGGTACATTAATGGTGGCTGTAATCTCTTAATTGTGTTGGATTATGCGTTAGGATTTATATAGGCAAAATTAATTTTAATTATGAAAAAATCATTAAAAAATTTTAATGCAAAGTTGAACTGGATTTACGTTATCTACCGACATGTCATCATGCTCCCAGCCAGTCCAATGCTTTAATTATTAATTCTCTATTCTCATCGGATATACCCAATTTGACGATAATGTTTATACTGTGTTCATCTACTCTAATTGAACTTTTGATTTTGGATAAATACAGTATAACCTAGAATAAGTTTAACACAGTATCATTATGTTTTCATTATTTATAGTCATACATTCACATACCATTTCTTTTGGGATTAAATGCATTCCCCAAGAAGAAACTTTAAATGTTCCTATTCCATTTTTTGAGATATGTGATTCCTTATGTGATAGGGGGTTAATACAGTATATAGTATATACTGTAAATTGGAATGAAACGTTGATTAAAATAAAAGTACTGTAAATCACCTCAAATACAGTATATACCCGGAAGTATCACTTTTATTGGATTCTTTTCGATTTCTTCCAAATCTTTCAACCAAAATGGAAATGTCATTTTGTCAAAGAGTATCTATCCATTGATCATAACACGCCTGGGAGTGAAAACATTAATCGGGTTGTCATTATCGATTTCAAACATCCCCCTGCTAATTTTTCAATGTTCTTGATAAAGAAGATAAAATCGATTATAGCATTTTTTAAGAAATACTGTGATAAAACTGAAAAAATATCCTATAAAAATTATAATGTAATTTAACTTTATTCCTAGATTGATGTGGTTTTCTTAAATCCATGAATTTACTCGGAAGAAAAAAATTGGTCTATGCAGTATTGGATATTTCTATCAAAACAAAGCAAAAAAATTTAAATTAAAAATTAATAGAATACTTTAAATATAAGATTTGTGCTTTTAATATATACTGTATATACAGTATCTATTTATAATAAACATTCAATTTACAAACAAACTCTTGATTCTTAAAATTATTCAAAAACAAAAATTCGGATGTCTAATAGATTGATAATTTAAAAATCAAAATATAATTTCACAAATTTTTTTTTGTTTTTATACATATTATATATTTTTTTGTACTATTTTTATTTTATTAATATATTTTATTTTATCAATATAATTTTATTTAAAAAATAATTAGACTTTTTAATTAATTTTTTTTAAAAATAACATATAATACAGTATATTACTAAGTATTGTATAATTTTTTATTCAAATATATATATATAGTCGACCCTTCATAAAAGAACTCTTTATAAAAGAACAACCTTTCATAAAGAATATTATTCATTAAAATTTAATGATTTGTATCTGATAAATATTTCTATAAAATAATGAATATATATATTGTAAAGAAATTTCGCTACTAATTGATAATAAAATTCAAAAAATCTTCACCAATATTTACTTTTCTTGGGATCTGTTCAATATCTGATAATACTTAAAACTCTTTCATTATTAATTATATTTTATTCAATATATTATTTGTTAATATATCCTTTTCAATTCATATTCATTTAACAAGCCATTTGCCAATACCCAAAAAAAGACAATATATAGAATCGATAACTAAATACTAAATAGAATTAAAGTATAATAGATGAAGAAGTTTTGATCACCTGACATGATTTTTACTAACATAAAATTTTATTTATAAGTTATCAAATTCCTTAATATAAACTATTCATTTATACTATTTATACTACCATAGTTATATTAATTGTTGATATAATTTGCTTTTTTTTTTATAGTAATGGCATGATATTAGTATCAAAATATATCCATATACTTTTCGTATTATAGGAATATAACATGAAATTAAAATCAAAGCAGCCTGAATTATTTTTCCATTCTTATTTTCGGCAGTAAAATCTAATATTACTTTTTGTCATTGTTATAACAATTCATCTACAATTGATAAAAGGTAATAATTTATTTGATACAAACTTAATTCACTAGGGCCTAGTAATATATCAAAAATCAGTATATTTTCATATTTAAACTATATTTCATGTGATAGATTCGTGATTGCCATATATATAATATCAGTATTATGTGTTTTATTATCATATAGTTGAAACTAGTCAATATTTAGCACCAATCTTAAGTATGAATTAGTCTTTTCTTTGCTAAAAAATAATTCTGAAATTTTATTTTCAAAGGTTTTCCAATATTGTTATTATAAATATCACAAAGATATTCATCAAAATTTAATTGATTTGTTCAATATCAAAAATTAGATTTGAAATCTGGATTTTGATATATTTATACTAATTGATATCAAATAGTAATATAAGAAAAAATTAATTCTGATCAATTGATTATACTTCTATTTAATAATTTTGATTATATAGATAATGAAGTATTGCAATATTTTTTTTAAATTATGGAGTTTGAAAATTTAACATAAATATATTTCATAATAGATAGTCAATTATTTTGTTGAAAATGGATCACTTCATTCTGTTTATATAACTTGTAACATTTTTGACATACTATAAAGCTAATGAATTGATCTGACAATTCAAGAAAATTTTTGATAATATATAAAGATTCATAGAAAGATTCAAATTCATTACTGCCAATTTTAATTAGTACTAATTTCATAAACTTTAGAAGTGTCTCTATTGCATTATCTAATAAATTAAATTTTATTCTAAAGTTCATAATCTATAATAAAATTTATATAAATTGATTATCAGTATCAATAAATTTATTTGGCTCTGGTGATTCGGAATCTAAAAAACATAGTGTCAAATAATCTTCAAATAGATTATTTAATTTATTAAAGTTGCACTATCATCTTTAGTAATATCATTATTAAAAATATTGGTATCAAGAATATCAGCATTAAAAATATTATTATAATCTTGTATTAGGCTTTTCTGATCATTACCTAAAGATATAATTTAATTTTGTTAAATGTTTCTTATTCTAAATTGAAATATAAATTTTTGCTTTATTATGACTTTTTTTTTGAATTTTTGATATCTATAAAAAAATTCAGTTCAAGCATTAACAAGTAATCTATTACATTTGTTATAATTGTAGAAAATTTTTGTTTTAGACTTTTTTCTTGAACTTTTATTAAGTAAAGCTAAAATTGAATACTTTCTTGACATTTAAAATAACTAAAATAAAAAAGATTGTTTAAATTTCACATTGTTGAACCATAATACAATAAAAATATAATATAATATAAGTGTATTATATTATATGAATAACAAATAGTCAACAATCGTATAATATATTAAAAATATAATTTTATAATATGAATAATTTTATATAAATATTTTTTTTTTAACTAAATCCAAAATTAAAAATATCCAAACAAGCAAAAAAAACTTCGACAAAAAAATCTTATAGAAAACAGTTTTCATCATCTTTGCAGTTTTTTTAATCTTTGCAATCTTTACGATCTTCACAACCTTCGCAATCTTTATAATCTTTGCTATCTTCACAATCTTTACAATCACAGCAACCTTCGTAATCATAACAATTTTCATAATCATGACAATCTTTGTGATTACAGCAATCTTTATGATCATGGCAACCTTTACGATTATGGCAACCTTTACATTTATGGCAATCATCAGATTCTTTTCAGATTTCATTAGAAGTTTAGAAAGTAAGGTCTCATTTAATATCACCTGATATAGAATTTTCATTAATCCTCACTTCAGCATGGCAATTGATTAAAAAAAGACCATCTGTCCAATTTTTACTAATATGAAAACTTGATATAATGATTGAAAAAGATACAAAATTAAATTAATGCTAAATTACAGTGGATTGCCAAAAGTTTATGGACACTTTTTAAAACTCAGTAAAAAAGTTTTTTAAATAAAAAAAAAAATTTTATATGATAGAATATTTACATGTTGACTATATTTAAAATTTTACTTAAATAATCAATATTTCG